GGTTACATATAAAGACTGCCAGCATATTTAGTAACTCTGAAAGAAATATGAAGTTTATATATTAAACCAAACCTCTGTGAGACGCTTATTTCTACCACCGAATATAATTAACCTTTGGAAGTGTAAATCTACAGGATTTTAAATGGGTTGATTAACTCTCACATTTTTATCTGGGTTTACAAAGCAAAAAATATATTTTCTGTTCTCGCATACGGTATATACAGAGCTGTTTACTTTTTCGAAAGACAGCTCTACTTTCCTGAAACAAATCTTCATCAATGTCTGTGGAAGTAATATACAAGCAATGTGAATCTAATAATTGAAACAGTTTCCAACAAATCAGAAAGAGAGAATTGCTGTATTAAAGAAGCAAGCTTCTAACTTTGCTTTTCAAGCATTGGTTATTGGAGTGTCATAACCCTGAACATTCACAATGTAACCATCATTTTTCTTACTTACTAGTTTCCTTAGGTAGGTTCCTTGGTGTATTGCAGGAAATGTTTGATATTTGTTGTAAATGCAAAAATATCACAGATCAAGTTCTCTTAATGGGTAATTAAAAGGAGGAGGAGGATACAAAGATCTTTATGTTTTCACTGGCATCCTCTGATTTCTTTGCAAATATACTTTGACAATAATGAGAGAGCCCCAGACTGAGTGAGGAAAAGAAGAAAGAAAAGGTGCCTACGTGTTGACTGGGGACTTTCAATGTGCTTTCAGAAAAACAGAGAGCTTCTCATATATCACTCATTTGTTAAAATAGAAGTATACTTTTATTATACAAAACGATTTCTTGTATAATAAAAGTGTAGCATAAAACTAATACATCCATACATTTGTGCACACACAAACAATTGTACTCATGGGATTTTGAAGGCATCCTACTAACACATATTTTCATTAAAAGATCAATATTTATATACAAATTAAAAATTAAACTAAATGCATAAAAAACACAATTTCCATTATAGATTCCCAACAAAAAATGGAGGATTTTGAATATCCTTTATTGAGATTTGTCACAAAATACAATACAGGTCCAGTGGTATCCCCCACAGCTGACTTTCATCCCACAACCATATTTTCTTGATTGTTGGTTTGTTCAGCTAATACACTCTAGTATTCTGAGTGGTATAGCACTTTAACTATCTCAATATGTTTTAGCATTAGTTTTGAGCAATACTTTGGTATTGCTAGATAAAGAGCCTATCTGGCTTGTGAGGGGACCCTAAAGTACGGAAAATGAGCAGAAGACAACCATAGGTATATACAGTTGTGCTCAACTACCAAGCCAAAGTCAGGTAGACCAAGAAAGATTGCAGCCAAAACTGACAGAAGAATTGTCTGGGATTCAAAGAAAAACCCACAGGTAACCTCAAAAGAAATACAGGCTGCTCTGGAAAAAGATGGTGTGGTTGTTTTTAAGGAGTACAATATGGTGATACTTGAACAAAAATGAGCTGTTTGGTCAAGGTTCCAGAAAGAAGCTTTTACTGCACCAATGCCACAAAAAAGCCCAGTTACTATATGCCTGACAACAACTTGACATGCCTAACTGGGCCTTTTTGTGTCATTGATGCAATAAAGGCTTCTTTCTGGCACCTTGTCCATGCAGCTCATTTTTGTTCAACTGTCATCATATTGTGCTCCTTCAAAACAACCACACTGTCTTTTTCAAGAGCAGCCTGTATTTTTCTTGTGGTTACCTATGGGTTTCCCTTTGTATCATAAACAATTATTCAGGCAGTTGTGGCTGCAATCTTTCTTGGTCTACCTGTACTTGGCTTGGTATCAACAGATCCCCGAACTTTCCACTTCTTAATAGGTGATTAACAGTACTGATTGGCATATTCAAGGCTTTGGACATCTTTTTATGTCATTTTCCATCTTTATAAAGTTCCATTACCTTGTTACGCAGGACTTTTGACAGTTCTTTTCTGATCCCCATGGCTCAGTATCTAGCCCAGTCAGTGCTTCCAGGTAAGAGCTAACAAACTCATTGACAATTTATACACTGACACTAATTGCAATTTAAAAAGCAACAGATGTGGGACATTAACCTCTAATTGGCATTTTAACCCGTGTGTGTCACCTTGTGTGTCTGTACCAAGGCCAAACATTACAGGGTATGTAAACTTTTGATCATGGCCATTTGGGTGATTTCTGTTATCATTATGATTTAAAGAGGAGCCAAATAACTATTTGATAATAGATGGCTTCATATGATCATCATCCTTCAATAAAAGAGCATTTTTTGGCATGATCAGTCATATTTTCAATATCAATGCCAACATTTCACAATTTCTGCCAGGGTATGCAAACTTTTGAGCACAAGTGTACATACACTAATAAACTATATAAAGTCCATATGAATGAAATATTTACCTAAATTAAGTTCACCAAGCAGGTACAATATATAACATTAAGGAAATAGTTCTACATTGACTGATAACCGCATATATCCAAAAAGTCTTCAGAAAGATTACAAACCCCCATGAAGATGCATCAGATTCTAAAAAGATCATAAATATGAATGAACACCAAAATGAAAGTGTGTAACAATAAACATTAACAATGTCAGTGTCTTATATCTGTTTTCTATTTTAACATACGGGTAATTTATGAGAAGCTCTTTTCTGGAAGCACATTAAAAGTCCCCAATCAACATGTAGGTAACCTTTCTTTCTTTCTATCTAGTATGGAATGATGATTCCAGAGAAAATATTTTGTTTAATTTTTTTCAGTGATTCCAATATTCTTGTATTAATTTATGTAAAAAAAATGAGGATGGCATTGTATACATCATGCACATAGTGCTATCCATATTTCTGCAAAATCAACAAGTCCCCGATAAAACATTTAGATTTCGATTTTAGCACACCACAGCTCAGTTTGAGACGTGAAGCAGGCCATCATAAATAAAAGGCTAAATGGCTATTGTAAACCAGTACTTAGAAGAGACTCTTAACCTTGTTTTATACATACTCCTGTATGCTACAATAAGCACAGGTAAAATTCACAAGGTGACTGTTGGCTTTCAGATGAAAGAGTTCGGTGGTTGTACAGCCACCAGATCGCTTCTATGAACCATGAGAATGTGGCATCCCCCCCAACATAATTCCTGGGCTCTACCAGATAGAAGGGAGGCAGACTAGAGAATGTCCATTCACTGATCCCCTCTAGCTAGCAAGAACCCAGAAGTGACATGTATTATGTCACTTCTTGTTTTGACTGTCACAAGAAGTAAATGGAGCATAGAATGTGGAGTGCAGGGCAGGCATCGGGGTATAATGGATCCCTGATTTGTCATTAAAGAGAAACTGTCACTATAAATATGCTATCACATAGAAGGCTATTGGTCCGCCATGTGATATGAACAAAAGTAAGTTGAAGTTTAAAAAAAAATCGCACATCACTTACCTGTAATGAAGTCTGTAATAAGTTGTGCAAGCACCTAGATCCTGGAGAAATTCAATGTAGGAATGCCTTGTCCTCTTCCTGTCTCTGAACGTTCAATGCTGCAATGGTTAACAGTGTTGGGTCTTCAGGCAAAACAGTGGTCCAGATGGTCCAGTAAAGGACACACTCCCTCATTCTTCCTATTCCATTAAGAAAAGTCATTTCATTGATTACACTGCATTTAACACAATTTGTTAGTGGGAGAGAAAATCATGTGACTCATCAGACCCCTCCCCAACACTATAAGTGCAGCTCAAGTATCATAAAACACTTCAACATTTCTACACCACACTCCTCAGTTCTTTTGGTGGGGGTTTACTCAGTGATGCCCACTGGAGAGTCATCAAAAAGCTGCAATTGGCAGCTGTAGCTCTCAATTTCAACTGGAACCATACCAGAATGCTAAGAGTTATTTCTGAGGGCCAGTGACTCTGTTAGAATCAGACTTTGAATTAGATTTTGCATTGGAAAGAAAGACCAGGCAAACTTTGCTAAATACATTTCATTCATAATCCCATTTAGTGTATTTTGCTGATGCATTTTTCATTAAAATGATTTTTTAAAAACCAATAAGCAGAATCTCTGAATGCTCTAATAAGAAAATAAAGAATCCACGCCTCTTTGAAAAAAGCTATCATATTTTACCATTGTTATGTTCCTGTTTGGTTTGCCAGTGAGTGCCGTGGACTTTTTGTAATGGTCAGAATTGCTATAGCAGATACTGTGAAAAGTGTATTTCCATTAAAATATGCAGTAGCTAGCATTTAGTGTGTAAAAAGTTACATGTGAAGTTTAGCTCCTCCAAGATTGATCACCCTTATTCTGCTGGCACTTGTTTTGCAAGGAAAATATAGGGTAGGTGAGGCTGGTAGCACAGTTGTCACATCTGGACAGCAGTGGTGGGATCTAAGACTGCCAGCTTTGCAGTTGTCTCTCATTAATGTTCTAAATATAGATTTTTTTTTCATCTACTGGCTAAATTGATGCATACACTACATTGCCAAAAGTATTGGGATGCCTGCTTTTACACGCACATGAAATTTAATGGCATCCCAGTCTTAGTCCGTAGGGTTCAATATTGAGTTGGCCCACCTTTTGCATGTATAACAGCTGCAACTCTTCCAAGAAGACTGTCCACAAGGTTTAGGAGTGTGTCTATGGGAATGTTTGACCATTCTTCCTGAAGCGCATTTGTGAGGTCAGGCACTGATGTCAGACGAGAAGGCTTGGCTCACAGTCTCCATTCTAATTAATCCCATAGGTGTTCTAGCGGGTTGAAGTCAGGACTCTGTGCAGGCCAGTTAAGGTTCTCCACTCCAAATTCGCTCATCCATGTCTTTATGGACCTTGCTTTGTGAACTGGTGTGCAGTCATGTTTGAACAGGAAGGGGCCATCCCCAAACTGTTCCCACAAAAATGAGAGCATGAAAGTGTTTGGAATGTCTTGGTATGCTGATGCCTTAAGAGTTCCCTTCATTAGAACTAAGGAACCAAGCCCAACTCCTGAAAAACAACCCCACACCATAATTCCCCCTCCACCAAACTTTACACTTGGCACAATGCAGCCAGGCAAGCAATGTTCTCCTGGAACCGCCAAACCCAAACACGTCCATCAGATTGCTAGACAAATGAAGCATGATTCACCACTCCAGAGAACATGTCTCCACTGCTCCACTGGTGAAGTCCGGTGTGCTTTACACCACTACATCCAATGCTTGCATTGCCCTTGGTGATGTAAGGCTTGGATGCAGCTGCTCGGCCATGGAAACCCATTCCTTGAAGCTCTCTATGCACTGTTTTTGTGCTAATCTGAAGGCCACATGAAGTTTGAAGGTATTTAGCTAACGACTCTGCAGACAGTTGGCGACTTCTGCACACTGTGCGCTTCAGCATGCACTGTCCCTGCTCTGTCATTTTACATGGCTTACCACTTCGTGGCTGAGTTGCTGTTGTTCCCAGTTGCTTCCACTTTGTTATAATACCAGTAACAGTTGACCATGGAATATTTAATATCAAGGAAATTTCACAGATGGGCTTATTGCACAGGTAGCAACCTATCACAATACCACACTTATATTAACTGAGCTCCTGAGAGCGACCCATTCTTTCAAAAATGTTTGTAGAAGCAGTCTGCATGCCTAGGTGCTTGATTTTATACACCTGTGGCCATGGAAGTGATTGTAACACCTGCATCCAATGATTTGGAGGGGTGTTCCAATACTTTTGGCAATATAGTGTATGTTAAAGTATGACTTTTTGTTCACAGCTTATCATACTTTCTAAAATTGTGACCTCAGCAGATATACTCAGAATCACATTTTCAATTTGTAAGTTTGCCATTTTTGGAAGATCTGAAACCGCATGTAACTCTTGGAGAGCCAATGAAGACTTTTTTCAAATCACTAACAGTATCACAATGACACCCCTTTAATAATTCTTGAGCACTTACTATTCTGCGCACAATTAGAATGCAACTAGCATGGTCTCAAGGTTGGGAGTTATGAGCACAAAGTTGTCAATTAATTATTTGCTCTTTAAAAAAACAATCCAAGCATTTCCATCCCTAACATTTGGAACTAAGGTGATAACTTTAAAATTATTACAATAATTGGAGGACCTGAATGATTTATTAGACAGCTTAGCTGAACATCTTAAATAGCACTTTCTATCTAAATAGACAAAAGCACCACCAAATGTCTGGGGACTGTAATTTTTAGAGACCTTCCTGACATGGGGAACACATCCTTCCATGTCAAAAGACATGAAATACCCGTTTTCTCCACAGCAGGTTGACCAAGGAATTCATTCCTTTCTCCATTGCATGATATTCCTGCACTAAGCTTGTGGAAGGAGTCCGTTATTTAAATCTTCTAGCTTCTCATAATGCATACCTGTAAATTTGTATAGCCTCTAAGGTATTGGCATTAGTTCAGGCTTTATAACAACTGCAGTACTGCTCTATACTTTAGAAGCCACCTTACAAGGATGCTTTATGCCTTTACACTGGTCCATAGGTGCCCTAAGCAACTTACATGGCATCTACAAGGAGAGAAGTAAGATGTTACAGATTACACTGTTCAACAAATTTTTATTTTTTGCCAGTTTTGGAAACAAAAGGATCCATTTCTTAATGAATTTCACATTCTGAGTTCAAATATAACAATGAAATTTGTCAATTGGCTCTAGTTTTTCTGTAAACGGAAAGTTGTCTACTATAGGCGTAATGACTACATAATGCACAATAATTATATAGATAGATGTCTTTCCACAAATATAAAGCAAGTGATATTGACTACATAACAAAGCCTAAATGGCATAATATATTGCATAGGATTACCAAGAAAAATTATAGCCATAAGCTAAGTTGAATCATTTTAATACTTAGGATTCTCACTAGTTTTGTCTTCAGTTTGTGTCGGTTTTGCTTCTCTTGGCTTTTCTCTTGTATTCGAGGAAAGGGCTATCTCTTACAACTGCACATGACTACACGCTTCAGGTTCTTCCTCACTTGACTCAACCACGAAGGATTCTGGTGCTTTAGGAATTGGTAGCCTCTCTCCATGAGGAACTGGACGTATTGCCGATGGAATATTTGGATAGTGCACAGATAACTTTTTCTTCTTATTTAGCCCTTTTACAATTGGAGGCACCATACAAAAGTAACAATTACTAACATGATCTGTTGGCTCTCTCCAAATCATTGGCACAGCGAAAGGCATAGATGCCTTTTTTCCATTCAACCATTGCTCCAGTGCCGTCCCACAAGAATTGCAGCATATATGTGGTGCCCAGCTCTTGTCCTGGTCTCCTATCTTGCAGCCAAAATACAAGTTGTAGGCTTTCTTAATCATTCCTGTTATCCTCCTTTTTTGTGAGATAAAAGTTATTTCACCGCAGATATAGCAGAAATTATCTGCTTTATTCACACAAGTTCGAGGCATTACTGAGTAGCCTATATAAGCATAAAATGAAATGTAAAGACGCTGTCGAACTACAATCAGCTACAGATACTGCAGCTTTTATGCAGTGAAGTGATGCAATTAAAGGCTAATATTGCATCATCTCAGTATACATGCAATTTTCTATTGGTCACCAGTATCAATTGCGCAATATGCGGTTGAAGTTGCATCATAATTTTGAATGGCTTACGTCATTAGATGGGTGAATATATCATGGAAAATAGAGCCAATCAACATTTTTTAGGGTCATTTTCGTTTTCAGCACCCCAAAATTATGTAAGATTAGCTAATTTTATGCCCAAAACTTTTTACCTGTTGAACAGTGTTATCTGTAAAATGTATTCAAACCCATGTTCCACATTTTACACCTTTGCCTATTTTTTCAGTCTACTGAATTTACCACTGCTCATCAGATTTCTACTTTTTCCTCATGCAGAGTAATGTTCAGTGTTCAAAATAAAGATGACACTCAGAAACGGGTTATTGAAAGTGAGATTCCAGTGGTGGTGAATTTATATGCTCAGGACACATGATGCAAAGTGATCATCTTGGATGGGAGTGGATTTGTGTTTTGATTACCCACAGGGCTGCAGGTGTATACCATCAATCCAACAAATTTACTGTTCTGCTTGTTCATACCTCTTATTATCTGGTGGTCAGTATCGAGTTGAGCAGATTCACAAACACACAAAGTGTGGAGGTGTTAATGAAGGAGGCATTCACTGGTTTACAAGAAAATGACAACAAAAAAGAGTGCACATGATCTTTTGATGATCACAGAACCTATTTTCTTCACATTCTTTGGTAGACACATACACTTTATTCCTTTAAAGCAACAAAGCGTTATTTATATTTATTTGTTTACACAAGTTATTATGTTTAATATATTCATTTATTAGAAATAGTAATGTATAGTGTTGAACAAATCTATACATTTGTTTGATCTTTTAACTGTGTGTGATTCACAGAGTGTGCTGGCATGCTCTATAGTATATTTCTTTGCATGGTGACCTTTATTATTAATGTATTATCTGCTTGCATGTGATTTGATGAATTAAGTTGACACAGCTTTACCTTATTCACTAGGCTAAACATAAACCTCCACTCCAAAATGATCACCCACTTTCCAAAGTAAACTTTCACTTTGCTATTTGAACAAACCAGTCTCTACTCCTTTAGTAAATCATCCCAAGGGTGTAGAAAGGAAATTTGCTCTAGCTATTGCAAATCCTGCACCTTCATTTTTTTTATACATTTAGACACTATGCATGAACTGCTATTTTTATACATAGGTGCTAGAATCTTGTTGCTTGTAGCTTAATGCCAATGGATTTCTTACATCTGTGCTTACCCTGGATGCAACCAACACATTCCCTCTGTGGCTATAATCCAAAAAGCAGTGCTACTTGGGACTTCCTAAGTCTTATGCCAACTCTGGAAATAGAGATAATCTACCAGATGGGATTTCAAAGGCTTTGAAATCATGAGAAGTTCTGGGCTATACCCCTCAAATTGGGATATTGGCTGATGTTGGAATTCTGTTTTAAAGTTTAAAAACTCCACACAGTGATCGTTTTCTAATTATCTTTTATTTTCCATTTGGTAAATAATGTGAGAATAAATAAAATACTAGGTAAATGAACATCTTAGAACTACATTTTCACTCACACTGCATAAACATATTTTGTGAAATGTTTCTTTCCCAGATCCTTCTATTAACAGTCTACTTTCTTGATACATTCCCTTGATAACTTAATGAGAGTACTTTAACATGACCTTTCACTTCCTTAACCATAGTACAGTAATTATCATTACTAATTATATTCACTAAAAGTGAAACATCCCTTGATATACATTTAAATAGCTTTAGTGTCATTAATGGTAAGCTTTTTTTTTTTGTTCCAAATTCTCTGGTTGTGATCTACAGTAATTACCTTCTAAAATAAAGAGACCAAAGCACATTAAGACATGGCTTATGTTAATTAGAATACCTAATTTTATGTTTATAAGGTACTTCAAAAAAGATAACTGCAACATTTAAACTTTCTATATACATTTTGTTTAGTTATTTTTGTTATAAACCCAAAAGTTTCCATTGATCAAAAAAAAAAAAATAACTAACGGGAGTGTGGGAACCAAACATTAGGATTTTCCCCATGATCCTATGGATCATGGATCAGTTACTTTAATTGAACCTTTCTCGACCTTTTTACCCAGGAAGAACACTTGAAATAATGTTCTGGTCTTTTGCTCACAGTAAATTAAAATGATCAGTAACTCGTAAATATTATATTAAAAAAAGAAAGAAAAAGAAGTATAGGGTACTTAGTGTATTTGATATCCACAGATTATTTTTGAGGAACCCCCAGTGTATTAGAAGATTATTTTCTATACTCATTTTAAAATGAAGCAGTATTATTCATGGCTTTTAATACAGTCCCTCCTTGACTGATTTATTGATAGCAGAGAAGGTCCCCCTTACATTTTAGGTCACTGGGAGAGGTACACCCTCACATTGGTGGCCAGTGGGAGAAGTTCCCATTGTTGGATAGATCCTCCTTGACTTGATGACAACATTGTTCTAAGTAAAATATGTAGGTTTTTACCCTGAACTGAGGAAGTGGTGGGTTGAGGTACGCATGTTTCCTTTAACTTGCTCATCACTAGTAGTTTACATTCAAATGGATATAATTGAAGACCCGCAGGCATTATGGGAAAGCACCACTAAGATTTGTGCCAAAAAGCCCCAGCTGATTGAGTAAGAATTGGTGTTCTAAAAGTGCCAAACTATTGCCTTTAGCAAATAAACCAACATTTTAGAGAATTTTGGCTGACCCATGGCATTGAAAAGTTAGAACAGTCATGGACAGGCCACATCACAAGTTTCTTATTTGCAGTTTAGTTCTTTCTTTACTCAGCTGTTAGTAGTGTCATTTAATGTTTGAGTCTTGTTTATGCATTATCAACCAGAATGGCTTGTTTCATATTGTCCTTCATCATGTTTAGCTCTTAGAAAGCAATGCCCTTAATAATCTATAATTATTTTTTAAACTGATACTTCTACTGGAGTTCACTCAAATCACAGATTTCTATCCTCTAATGTACCTTAATTTACAAATCTAAAACGTTATTGACAGGGCTTTTATGTATGCATGATGCATGCAAAATCCCTGCATTTAAAAGCAAAATGTG